CTGGAAAGATTCCAAGAGCCAGCCCTCTAGTTGGGGAGGCCTCTGTTAAAGTTGAGCAAGTGCCCCATTCTGGATTGATCCAGTCATTAAAGGATTGTTCTACCACTTGGGCCAACTTCCCACTGCTGGGAAAAGGAACTAGCCAGAAATACTGAATTGTGAATCTAAGGCCCTTGACTTCTCAAAGATGCTTGGGAGTTTTGCTTGTTCTTCAGGGAAGCAAGTAAAGACTATTTCAAAGTAGGAGGTAGTTGAGGCCTGACTTCTGCCCCACTAAAGCTATGAGTTGAAAGTTCCTGCCCATTGAAATATCATTATCTTTTCACCCATTTCTTTAAACAAAGCATAATCATTTTCTTGCTAGCTTGACCTCCATTGGCCGCATGAGTCTTCATAATGCAGCAGAGCCTTAGGTATGCCTTCTTCCATTCCAGCGATTTGAGAACAGTTGTGCCTTGTCCTAACAACACAAACCTAGGTGCCTCCACTTGATACTCACAAGTGTCCTAGATACTGTTTAGTTCATAAACGGTTTAAGAAGTATTGTAAGCAGCATAGGAGGAGCCCTTTACCTGATCTCACAGCTTTTGGCTAGAGGTATTGGCTTCTGGAAGGGGTTTTTAAAGGTTTTGCTTTTTGTCTGACAAAAAGGTCATTCAGTTACTAGATCAGCTGTAGTCGGGGATAACTAGAGACTAAACAATCACAGGTCAGGGCTAGAAAATGCAGGTGTCTCCCTGCTGCCTAGCACCCTATACAGCTGGTTCTGGGGCTCTTAGTCCTGTATACCCTCTCATTACCCAAGAGCTTTTCCAAATCAGGTCTGGATTTCAGTGATTTGTGTTTTTCATAAGATAAGAAGGGAGATCACAGTGGAACATAAGTACCTTGAACCCACTTCAATAGCTTTGCAAAGAGCAGGTGGCCCGTTTCTTGGCTGAAAAGGGTATCAGTATTTTAGCCTTGCCACAGCCAAGACCTCGTTTCCAGGCTGACATTTATTTATAATGATGAGAAGTTGGGGTTGAAATGGAGTTGACGTTGCCATTTTTAAGTCTTCGTGGAAATTGAGACATAGATGAAAATGAAAGAGAATCTCCTTTTCCTTCTGCCTCAGCATAATTGTATTGAGTGTTAAAAGTGTTTGGGTCTGAAGCACAGAATATATCAATCTAGAAAGTCAGTTCATGTTTAAGGACTTGCTTAGAAACCCAAAATGTTACAGTTATCTCCCTAAGCTAGGTAAATGGCTGTCAAGTAACCATGTCATGCAGAGACCCCTGTTTCTTAGGGGCTAGAGATTGGTGGTCCTAATTTTAGTATCCTGGCTCCCAGTCATCAGGCAAACAAAGAATACCCAGCCCTGTTCCGCAGGGACACCAGCTGCTCCCATACCCTATGGCAACAGAGTCCTAGAGGTACCAAAAGAGAGTTTAGAGATGACTTTTTTCTATTGGTAACAGCTGTTGCGTTCAAGAGAATTTGTCATACCACCAACTTGGATTCAGAGAAGTATTTTCCTGCCTCTAACTGTCTGCCTGTCTAAATAAATCCATGTATCATTCAACAAGCACTTACTGAGTGCCTACTGGGGAATGCAGGGGATAGTAGGGAGCAAGAGAGCCAGGCTTTGCCCTCATGGTGATTACGTTTTACCAGAACAGATAGTTAATTAGACATGCAAGTGCAAAAATTATACTATAGGACAATACTTTGGAAGCGCAGTTCAGGGCACCTAACGTAGTGGGGATGGGGTCAATACCAGCTTTGTAAATGCTACTTTAGGGAGTTCGAGGCAGTCCACAGGGTCTGTGTACGTTGAAGAAGTGTCTTCCTCTTTTCTGGAACATGACAGACTTTGCCCTGAATAAGCATGTGAGTAAATTTAGCTAATATTTTTACTCAGACAGCCCAAGTGGTTCTGTGTTTTTATTGTTTTTGTTGTCCCAGGCAGGGGCACCATGTGTCCACAGGTCACTCCGGATCAGACGTCGTTCTGTGTCAGTGGTCAGGGGCTGCCCAACCCTGGACCCTGTGGGCTGTAACCATGCTGTAGTGTGTGTAAACATCCTACACTCTCAGCTGTGAGCTCAAGGTGGCTGGGAGAGGGTTGTTTACTCCTTCTGCCATGGAAAACATCAGCTGAAGAAGAAACAGTCTCCACTCTGCAGATCGGACAGAATGCGACCTCCCTAATCAGCCAAGGCAGTACCCCAGCGGAGAGCTGTCCATCAGGCCCCCTGGGTTGCGCTTCTGTGGCTAAGTACAACCAGAACCAGATGTGAGCTGGATAGACATGCCCTCAGTGACCACAGAGCTTTCAACAAGCTGTGAAAAGCTGGGTACTTGTCTACCAGTGCTCTCGATCCTGAAACTTGATTCTGAAATTTCTGCCCAGTGCCTCTTGAAGTGGTGGGGATAAAATGAGAAGAACGCTGCCTATTTGGGAGATTGGGACCAGGCCTGAGAGGCATGATGTTTGGGTAGCATCTTCCCAACACTTACAATTAGCACTGTTCTCAGATCACAGGCCTTGACAGCATTTACTGACAAGCACTGCTGCTGCGCGGTTTTTAGTTAATGGTAATTATTTGCCCATTTGCAACTTATCATGCAATGGGTGATTATTTCATACTTCAAAAATTGGCTGGATGTTTTGTGAAGCCTATAGGATCTGTTATTTTTAGTTTGATTTAGCATAACTGGTCTCTTTGAATTCCACTTTCCTTTGGCTTCAGATGTGGAGAGCTCAGCATTCAGCAGGCAACTGCACATAGCCTGTTTGGGGGAAGAGTGGAAATTCACTGTGGTGGCTGCTGAGTCTGTTCTTTTCCTCTTACCTGTCTCTCTTTCCACCCAACAGGAGGAGGTGCGCCAGTCTGTTACTCCTGCCGAGCCAGTCCAGTACTATTTCACGCTGGCTCAGCAGCCCACCGCCGTCCAAGTCCAGGGGCAGCAGCAAGGCCAGCAGACCACCAGCTCCACGACCACCATCCAGCCTGGGCAGATCATCATTGCACAGCCTCAGCAGGGCCAGGTCTGTGAGCTGCTGAGGATGCCCATCCAGCAAGACAGTGCCCCTTAGGTTTTTGGATGGGCAGAGCTTGATGAGGGCAGAGGCAACCAGATCATTATAGAGCACTGCATTTAAAGTCTGGAAACTGGAACTTTTCCCCAGATTCAGTTCCTGGGGTGAGATGTCACCCTAATCTCTCTGAATTCTGTTTTTCTCAAAGGTCAAATGAAGAAAGCAGTGGACAGTATGTTCTCCAGGATCCCTATTAGCTCAGAAATTTTAGAAGGCAAAAAAACATGTCTGTAACGCCTTATGAAGAGTAGTGGGATCTCTATAGCGGTACTAAAGTGAACTCCATGCCTACTATGCCAGAAGTGGAATTTGTGCCCTTAAAGGGAGAGATTAGGTGTCATTGCCAGGTTACATACTCCTCCCCATCATTTCTCTGTCCCATGTTTTTGTCAAGTGACCTGCTCTTTTTACGATAGTAATCAGAGGACTCTTTCTCTCCCCAGTAGTATTGTTGAGAGCAGTAGCATTCATGTTTGTTGGGAGTCATGAGAGGCTGCAGAGAACTCTGTACTATGAGCTCTGAATCCACATTCTCTGTCAATCATTATTAATTCATCAAACACTGAGCATTCTCTGAGGGGAAAGTCCTGCACTATGTATTGGGGATACAGGCATGAATAAAATAGTCCTATTTTCAAAGAATTCACAATTTAGTTGTGGATGCAAATACTTAAAAGGTTGTACCACCACATGGGCATGTGTACAGGGTGTTATAGGAGCACATCAAAAGGAGTACCTTGGCTTGGTGCGGTGGCTCACACCTGTAATCCTAACACTTTGGGAGGCCAAGGTGGGAGGAACCCCGGAGTTTCAGGTTATAGTGAGGTAGGATCATGCCACTGCCCTTCAGCCTGGGCAGCACAGCAAGACCTTTAATTTAAAAAAAAAAAAAAAAAAAAGGTGGTGGTGGGGGTGTGGTGGCTCATGTCTGTAATTACAGCACTTTAGGAGGCTGAGGCAGGAGGATTGCTTGAGCCCATGTGTTCAAGACCAACCTGGGCAACATGGTGAGACCCTGTCTCTACAGGAGATTCAAAACATTAGCCAGGCATGATGGCATGTGCCTGTGGTCCCAGCTATTTAAGAGGCTGAGGTGGGAGGATTGCTTGAGCCAAGGAAGCCAAGCTACAGTGAGCTGTGATTGTTCCATTGCAGTCCAGTCAAGGTGGCAGAGCAAGATCCTGTCTCAAAAAAAAAAAAAAGAAATAGGGGAGGGAATGAGTATCTAAGAAAGATGTGAAGAAGGTGGTCAGATAATGTTCCTAAAGAGAATAAAATGAGTGTTAGGGAACAGTGGAAGTTAATGAAAGAAAGCGGGAAAGGATGGTATTGCCAGTAGGGGGCACAGCACAGCAAAAGCTTAGAGGTGAGAAATAGTACAGGGAGTTTTGTGGGAAAGTAGTCGGCATAGGGCACCATCTAAGCAAGTTTGAAAAGACAGGTAGTGAACATATCCTGGACAACCTTGTGTATTCTAATAAGGAGCTGGGTTTACCTAGAATAAAAAAAATGGGGTAGAGGTAGATTGATTTATTCACTGATTTTTTTTAAAGATAGGTTCTCACTTGGTCACCCAGGTTGGAGTGTAGTAGCACAATCGTAGCTCACTGCAGCTTCAGACTACTAGGCTCAAGCAATCCTCTTGTCTCAGCCTCCCGAGGAACTGGGACTTTAGGCACGTGCCACCACACCTGGCTAATTTTTAAATTTTTTGTAGCGATGGAGTCCCATGTTTCACAGGCTGGTCTCAAACTCCTGGCCTCAAGCCATCCTCCCACCTTGGCCTCCAACAGTGGTAGGATGAAAGCATGAGCCGCCATGCTCAGTTGGGAGGTATATTTAAATAATTATGATTTGGCCAGGTGCGGTGGCTCACACCTGTAATCCCAGCACTGTGGGAGGCCAAAGCAAGAGGGTCATGTGAGCCCAGGAATTTGAGACCAGCCTGCGCAACATGGCAAGACCTTGTCTCAAAAACAAATAAACACACAAAGAATTAAAATTAAGTGTGACGCACAACTTCCGGCTGAAAAGATGGTGGCTTCCTAGAGAGCTGGCGGTTGATTTGGAGGGAGGCTCAGGCTACACTATACAGGAGCCATGGAAGTGGCAGAGCCCAGCAGCCCCACTGAAGAAGAGGAGGAGGAAAGAGAAGCACTTGCTCTGATCCTGAAGGGGCTGAGGACCGGGCAGTGGGGGCACGGCAGCGTGGGTAGCCACAGCGAGGAGTGAGGCTGCCAATGCTGATGATGGGAGTCCCAACATTTCAGGAGCCGACCCTAAGTCCTGGTAGGTGTCCCCACCAGGCCTTGAGGCCCAAATTCAAACACCAAGGGTCAGCTCTCCAGAGAATTTGATAATCTGCCTGGACCTGTCAGAGGAAATGTCACTGCTAATGCTGGAGTCATTCAATGGCTCCAAAACCAATCCCCTCAACATCTCCCAGATGATCAAGATATTCGTGCAGACAAAACACAAGATCAACAGAAGCCACAAGTTTGTGCTGGTGGTGGTGAACAACGACACGGCCTGGCTATCCGGCCTGACCTCTGACCCCCGCGAGCTCTGCAACCGCCTCTATGATCTGGAGACGTGCCTCTGTGATCTGGTTTCCTGTTCCACCTTCAATCTAGAAGGACTTTCAGTCTGATCCAGCAGAAAACTGAGCTTCCAGTCACAGAGAATGTGCAGACAATTCCCCTGCCATATGTGGTCTGCACCATCCTTGTCGGCAGCCATCCGCTCAGCCAGCCCCAGTTCTCCTTGATGGAGCCCATGAAGAAAATGTTCCAGTGCCCATATTTCTTCTTTGATGTTGTTTACATCCACAATGGCACTGAGGAAAAGGAGGAGGAGATGAGCTGGAAGGACACGTTTGCCTTTACGGGCAGCCTGGACTGCATGGCAAAACTGTTGGCTCACCCCTGCAGTGGCCCTGCGAGAGCCACGCCTCCTACATCCTGCTGGAGGAGGAGGATGAGGCCACTGTCTGAACCATCCCTGTACATCTGCACCTTCTTGTGCAAGGAAGCTCTTGGCCTAAAGCCTTGGTTCTTAAACCGGGTTCCTTGGGACCTCCAAGGGGTGCCAGGAGGCACCTAGGGTACCTTGCAGGGTCCTAGGAGGGAAACTTAGGATTCCAGGAGGGATTCTAGGAACTCTGGGTGCCCATCTTCCATGTTTCCCAGCCCATTCCCACTCCTAGTTTGTCATGGATAATTTTTGTCCTTCCCTGTGTGATTTTTGTCATCAAAATAAAAATAGAGACTCGTTAACAATAACAAAAAAAAAAAACTATAAGTAATCATGAGGGCCAGGTGCAGTGGCTCATGTCTGTAATCCTAGCACTTTGGGAGAATGAGGTGGGTGGATCACCTAAGGTTGGGAGTTCGAGACAGCCTGACCCACATGGAGAAAACTTGTCTCTACTAAAAAGTACAAAATTAGCCAGGTGTGGTGGTACATACCTATAATCCAAGCCACTTGGAAGGTTGAGGCAGGAGAATTGCTTGAACCTCGAAGGCTGAGGTTGTGGTGAGCCAAGATTGTGCCATTGCAGTCCAGCCTGGGCAACAAGAGTGAAACTCCATAAAAAAAAAAAAAAAAAAAAAAAAACATAGTAATTATGATTTTAGGATTTATTCCCTGCTTATTTACTTATCCATATAACAAAAAATTAGTGCCTCTTCTATGCCAGACACTGTGCTAGGCAGGAGTGGATCAAAGATAATGGCTGCTCAGTCACTGCCTCAAGGCCTTGACTACACCATGATGCCTAAGGGACCTTCTTTGGCTAATGCTTGTGCCTCTGCAGTGGTGAGAGCTTTACCTGCCAAAGGCTTTATCCCTTTACAGAGTGAACTTAGAGGGAGTCTGCCAGGGGCAGGCTCTGGTTGGCTGATCATCCTAAGAAGCTCATGGCTGTTGTGCCCTGACAGCAGGGCACACCATACGTGATTTGACAGCTGCCATGCTAACACAAGCCCTCATTTTCCTGAAATGATTTAGAAATACCTTGGAAATCCTCTTGGGAAAATTGGGTTGATATAGCACAGTGATGAGTTGGCAGCATGCATTTCTTTTTAGTCAGCAAGAATTTCATCTATCCTCTTCTCTGCCAACCCAGACCTGCTCAGCTTGGAACTGATAAGGCTTGTGAGGTTGGTGAAGTTGGTCCTTCCCAGCATTTCCCGGCTGTTCATTCACCATCTTGCTGCTTCAGGGTGGCCTTGTGCTGTGTCACTCCTCCCTGGACCCATAGTGACGGCTATTTCAAGTTGAGTGCAGATATCCTTTGTAGGACAGAATACGTATGTATTAAACAGTCGGAAAGAATGAATATTTTGGTAAAATGAATCCTGTGTTTTCTGTCATAAATTGGAAACTTATTTCTGGAGGTTTGGGAATAGGCTGAGTTGAAAATTGTGGTACAAGAATGGAAGAGATGTTTTCCATTGGCCTAGCCCACTGCATGTACTTTTAGAACACCCGGCCGTCTTTCTTTCCTGCCCTCCTCCGGTTTATAGTAATTTCTCCTTAGTAATTCCTTGAATCTCATCTGTTGTTCACAGAACACATCCATCCCCTTCCCTTGTAACTCTGGATGCATACTTGTAATTTTCAGTAACCTATGTAGTCAGAATTAAGAACATCAGAATAGCAACATCAGTTGAAGTTTATGTTTCATTGAGACTTCCATAGTCGTCTTACCGAGGTGATTAATTCAGGATGGGGAGAGATAGTAACGGAATTCAAGTCAGGGATTGGGTGTACAGGTGTAGTTCAAAATGCTCCACCACCCCCACTCCATCACTACCATCACCAGATGAACCTGATACGCTCACTTCTCCAGGTAACCTCTAAAAGTCACAACTAGTACTAACGTTTTGAGATTTGAAAGAACGATTGACCGTTTTGGCAGCTTGTGTCTTTAACGTCTCTTAAAAGAGTACATTTCATAGGACTACAGCCGTTAAGTGTGTGTGAGAGAGACAGAATCTGCTAAGTCATACATTGGGCAGAAATTTCTTAAATCCGAGAATGCTATTTTTAGAAAGCTAGAGCTCTTGCTTTCTTAAATTCTATTAATTTGGGGTTGACTTAGGTAAGAGTCCGTGTCTTAACAGTGTCCAGTGAGTTAGCAGCGGTTGCTTTCCTGTGGGAAGGCATACTGTCGTCCAGAGCAGCCATCTGGTCAGTGTGGGCAGGAATTGCTCTGCAGCTTGAATGGGGTGAGAGCCAGTGTGCGCTAGGGCCAGCCTTGGAGATGCACCCCTGTGCTTTATTATACCTAAGAAAGAGCATATGATTCTGAACTAAATAAATTCATACTAACTCTTTCCATTTAATATCCAAATTCACCTGCCGCAGACTTGACTTTGGCTATTTCTGAAGTAAACTGTCATGGTTGCTTTTAACTTTTTCTGTATCGTATGTGACTTATCATCACTAACAGGGCTGTGAAAAAGTTGCAGCATTTGGGGCACAGAGATTTATGTTTGGGACCCATGCAAATATTGTATACTATGAGCCTAAAAATACTTTTGGCTTTCCTTTCATTTTGGAGAGTAACTTTAGCAATGCTGTAAATCCAAAGGACTGTGTAGGTTGAGTATTACTAATATTGAGATGAGTTTAGGCATTCATGGAGAGGGTTTGCTCCTGGCAAATTGCTCGTTATTAACCCCTTGGTAATCCTATAGACTCTGACCCTGAACTCATGCAGCATTCTCATAACTCTTCCTTTCAGACCACGCCTGTGACAATGCAGGTTGGAGAAGGTCAGCAGGTGCAGATTGTCCAGGCTCAGCCTCAGGGTCAAGCCCAGCAGGCCCAGAGTGGCACTGGACAGACAATGCAGGTGATGCAGCAGATCATCACTAACACAGGAGAGATCCAGCAGATCCCGGTGAGTCCTGCCCTGAGGTCTGTCTTCACGACTCTGTAGAAGGAAATACTTAAAGCTATTTAAACACATGCACAATACTGGCTTTTTTTGTTTTGTTTTGTTTTTTGAGACGGGGCTTGCTCTGTCACCCAGGCTGAAGTGTAGTGGTTTGATCTCAGTTCACTGCAACCTCCGCCTTCCAGGTTCAAGTGATTCTCCTGCCTCAGCCTTCCTACTAGCTGGGATTACAGGCGCATGCCACCACGCCGGCTAGTTTTTCTGTTTGTAGTTGAGACGGAGTTTCACAGTGTTGGCCAGGCTGGTCTCTAACTCCTGACCTCAGGTGATCCGCCAGCCTTGGCCTCCCAAAGTGCTCGGATTACAGGCATGAGCCACCATGCCTGGCCCACATACTTTTTATATATGTATGTGTGTGTGTGTGTGTGTTTTGTTTTTAACCTATATACCCAGTGTTCCTGACCACAACTTGCTTCACTGTGTTTGTTCCCTGCTTTCCTTTAATGCGGGTTCAGGTTCACCACAATGGGTCAGCTCCTCAGCTTTCCCTCATTCCACCTACACAGGAAATCATTGTAACCGCTACTCGTGCCAAGGCCCAAAGGCCCTGTGAGGCAGTCCTGTCTTGATTAGCAGAGGATAAGAGGGAGGTGTATAGGAAAGGCCATAAATACACTTGTTGCATATTCATGAGTCAGTTCCCAGTGGAGCCTGCAGCAAAGTGTATTTTTGGCTTTCATATAACTTATCCATTCCTTTACTGTGGACTGCTGCTTCCTGTGTGCCTTGAGGGATTTCATTTCTTAGATTTGTTGGCTTTTTTACTTGTACTCCTTCTTTTGTAAAATATGTCTTTGTCTTAACACTTGCAATCTGTACATTGGTCATTTTACCCCCAAAACTGGAAAGTGAGTGAAACAGAGCAGTTCTTCTTTCTGTTTCCTACCCTTTGCCCTTTCTGTTGTAAATGAAATGTAGGCAGGTATAGAAACTCACATAGACTTGGTTAACCACTTGCTCTGTGAAAACTCTAAAAGCATCCTTAGATCAGTTTAGGAATTGTTTTTCATCTGAAGTTAACATAGTAATAGACCAAGAGAAAGCTTAGGAAAGTGGAGTGTGTGTGTCTCGTTCTCCACCTCTCTCACGTGTGCTCGATACCCACAGATTGCAGGTGACTGGGCTCTGCCTGGCTTCATTGTTTCAGTCCCCAACCCCAAGATTGCTGTTGAATGGTTCTCATTTTTACAAGTGAAGGCACCACCACAAGTTCATTTAAGCAGAGGAGTTCCACCTGGCAGATACTGTAACCCTCTGGGGTACAGAGCGTTAGCCCAGAAGATTTGTGGCAGAATTCACTATTTCATCTTCACTGGTTCAGGTACCTTCTGTAGGAGTCTTCATTTCCAGACTCTTTAGGCAGCTAATTGGAATGTTCCCAACAGATGAGCTTTAGGAAGGAATCTTTATTTCCCTTTCAAAAATCCACAGCTTATTTTCTCAGTAATCAATGTAAAAAAGCTATGAGGATCCCCAGACCTGGCCTGCCATAGAGGAATGAGGGACGGATCATCACCAAATGTCTTAACCTAAGCCTAAAAGGAAAGCTTCTTGCTTTTATTGAAGAGCTGCTTGGAAACATTTGGCTCACAGCTTTTCAGTCACATTTGGGTTTCTGCAAAGAGCTATTCCCAGCTAGAAAATTTTACATCCTGTGGCTGTCAGTATACCTTCTCCCACTCCTGGGACAAGGCTTTAGTCTTTCACCTTGTGATCCCTGACTGGAGTTCTAGGGACTTCTGGGACTAGCCACCATCAGTCTCTGTAGATGAAGTTTCCCAAGCCTCCGCCCAGCTGCCTTCCTCACCACAAGCAACTTAACATTGTTGCCAGGAAGCTGCATTGTAGGATTTAGGTGGGGAATTCAGGGTTGGCACCACACCTCCCAGCAGCTTCTCTTGGCATATTCTCAGGAGAGAAATGACTGCAGGTCATAATACTCTCGCCCTGTCTCCTTTGAACCAGATTTTTAATGGGTTTAGAGTGTGTGTCCCTGAGTCTTGCCTCAAGTGAGCAATTCTGGAATGGTCTACCATGAACTTACAGAGGTAGTTTTTTCTTGGTAGGTCAAACTCTGTGAGGCTGGAAGTCTCAGAGAAGCATTTTGATTGAACACCGCATGCAGGAGTGAAGCTTCATCCATTAACATTTTCCTCATGGAAGGAAGAGTCCTGCAGTGAAGTTAGTTCTTGAAGGCCAGAGGGAAATTTGCTCCAGAGCAGAGGCAACACTTGCCTGTTAGCCGCAAGAAGCTCCCCCTTGCAACAAGGGTAGGCCAGGCATCCAGGGCAGGTGGTTTCTGGGGCCCCCAGATAGAAAGACCTAGGTA